TGCCACAGGGGCTGCAGCCTACGCCATCGCCGGCGGGCAGCCCAGCTCCAGGTTGAGCTGTTGTTCAGCATCTTAGCTGTGGAGGGCAGTATCACTGGCCCTCATAATGTGGGATCAAAACCGGGGCCCTCTGGCGTCCCAAGCCAGTTCTTAACCATCGTGCCACTCAGCCAGCCCTATAATTTTTTTAAAAAATTATAGTTGACATTCAATATTATATTAGTTACAGCTGTACAGCATAGTGATTAGGCATTTGTATAATTTATGAAGTGATCCCTCCGATAATTCTAATACCCATCTGACACTATACATCGTTTTTACAATATTATTGACTATATTTCCCATACTGTATTTCACATACCTGTGACTATTTTGTAACTGCCAATTTGTACTTCCTAATCCCTTCACCTTTCCCACCCATGCTCCCAACTCTCTTACTTCTAACAACCATCATTTGTTTTCTGTATCTATGAGTCTATTTCTGTTTTGTTTGTTCATTTATTCTGTTCTTTAGATTCCACATATAAGTGAGATCATATGGTATTTGTCTTTCTCAGTAAGACTTATTTCACTTAGCATAATACCCTCTGGGTTTATCCATATTGTTGCAAATGGTAACATTTCATTCTTTTTTATGGCCTAGCAATACTCCATTGTATATATGAGTATGTACCACAATTATGCCACAATTTCTTTAGCCAATTGTCTATTAATGGGCATTTCAATTTCATATCTTGGCTATTGTGACCAGTGCTACAGTAAACATAGGGATGTATATGTTTTTTTCTAATTAGTGTTTTGGATTTCTTTGGATAAATACCCAGCAATGGAATTGCTGGGTCATAAGGTACTTCTATTTTTAATTTTTTGAGGAACCTCCATACTGTTTTCCATATGGCTGAACCAATTTGCAATCCCACCAAGAGTACACAAGGGTTCCCTTTTCTCCACATCCTCACCAAAACTTGTTGTTTATTTATTGATGATAGCCATTCTGACAAGAATGAGATGGTATTTTATTGTGGTTTTTATTTGCGTTTCTCTGATGACTAGTGATGTTGAGCATTTTTTTATATGTCTATTGGCCATCTATGTGTCCTCTTTGGAGAAATGTCTATTCAGGTCCTCTGCCCATTTTTTAATTGGATTGTGTGGGTTTTGGGTGTTGAGTAATATGAGTCATATATATATATATATATATATAAATTTTATATATTAACTCCTTTCATATATATCATTGGCAAATAACTTCTCCCATTTAGTTGAATGTCTTTTTGTTTTGTTGATGGTTTCCTTTGCAGTGAAAAAACTTTTTAGTTTGTGTAGTCCCATTTGTTTATTATCTCTTTTGTTTCCCTTGCTTAAGGGGATATATCAGTGAAAATATTACTAAGAGTAATGTCTGAGAGTTTACTTCCTATATTTTCTTCTAGAGTTTTAATGATTTCGGGTCTTACATTTAAGACTTTAATCTATTTTGAGTTTATTTTTGTATATGGCATAAGAAGGTGGTCCAGTTCCTTTTTTTTTTGCATGTGTCTGTCCAGTTTTCCCAGCACTATTTCTTGAATAGACTGTCTTTACTCAAATATAAATTCTTGCTTCTTTTGTTATAGATTAAATGACCATATAGGCATGGATTTATTTCTGGACTCTCTATTCTGTTCCATTGATCTATGTGCCTGTTTTTATGCCAATACCACGCTGTCGTGAATACTATAGCCTGGTAGTATAGTGTGATATCAGGTAGCATGATATCTCCAGTTTTGTTCTTCTTTCTCAAGATTGCCATGGCTATTTGGGGTCTTTTATAGTCCCATATAAATTTTAGGGTTATTTGTTCTGGTGTGAAATGCCATTGGTATTTTGATATTGAATTGAATCTATAGATTGCTTTGGGATAATATGGACATTTTAACTATATTAATTCTTCCTGTCCATGTGCCTGGTATATGTTTCCATTTGCTTGTATCTTCTTTAATTTCTCTCTTCAATGTCTTGTAATGTTCTGAGTCCAGGTCTTTTGCTTCCTTGGTTAAGTTTATTTCTATGTTTTGTTTTGTTTTGATGCAATATAAATAGGAATGTTTTCTTAATTTCTCTTTCTGACATTTATTTATTGGTGTATAAAAATGCAACTGATTTCTGAATATTAATCTTGTATCCTGCTACATTTCTAAATTCATTTATCAGTTCTAATAGTTTTTTTGGTGGAATCTTTAGAGTTCTCTACATATAATATCTTGTCATCTGCAAATATAACAATTTTACTTTCTCCTTTCCAATTTGGATGCCTTTTATTTCTTTTTCTTGTCTGATTGTTGTGACTAGGCTTTCAGTACTGTGTTGAATAAAAGTGGTGAAAGTGAGCATCCTTGTCTTGTTCCTAATCTTAAGGGGAATTTTAGCTTTTCCCCATTGAGTATAATATTAGCTGTGGGTTTGTAATATATGGCCTTTATTATGTTGAGTTATGTTCCCTCTACTCCCACTTTGCTGAGAGTTTTTATCATAAATGGATGCTGGATTTTGTCAAATGCTCTTTCTGTGTCGAATGATATGATCATATGAGTTTTATGATTTTGTTTATGTGGTGTATAACATTAATTGATTTGCAGATATTGAACCAAACTTGTATACCAGGAGTGGGTATCTGGTATTTTATTTCATGTATATCTTCAACGCTCTGAGACATTATTTTAAAACATTCTCAATATTATTTTAATCATACTCACATTTTACTCTTCTGGAGCTTTTCATTCCTGCACCACCTTGCTTCCATTGGGGATCGTTTTCCTGCTGCCTGGAAAATTCTTTTTAGCATTACTTTTGGTGTGCTCTGCTGTGGTGAAGTCTCTGTTTTAATCTGAAAATATCCTTATTTTTCCCTTCACCTTTGAAGGATAGTTTCATTATAGTATACAGACTTCTATATAGAGAGTTCTAGATTGGCAGTCGTTTTCTTTTAGTGCTTTGAAAATGTCATTCCCTTGTCTTTCAGCTTCCATTATTTCTTTTTTAAAGTTAATGTAGGGTTTTATGATTGTGGCTTCAAAGTAATGTATCTTCTTCTCCCCTGGACATTTTTAAGATGTCCTCTTTGATTTTCAAGAATATTTTCTTATAAAGTGCCTATGTGTGGTTTTCTTTGTATTTATCCTGTGTGGAGTTTGAAGACCTTCTTGAATTTGTGGCTTGATGTCTTTCATCAGTCTTGGGAAGTTTTCATTTAGTATCTCTTCAAATATTGTTTATGCTCCTGTCTCTCTTTTTCATCTGGGTCTCTATTTACATGAATGTTAGAACTTCTCACCATGTCTCATAAGTCTCTTACACTTTTTTCTGTATTTTCCTATCTTTTTCCTTTGCATGCTTCAGTATAGATATTTTTCTATGGACCTATTTTTCATTTTCCTAATCCTCTTTCCTGTTGTGTTTAATAGATTGTTACCCTTTCTAGTGAATTCTTAATTTCACAACTTTTATTGTTTACTTCTATTATTTCCATTTGATTCTTCTATATAGATTCCAAATCCTCATTGTGTCAACTCTTAGGCATATTAATCATGTTATCTTAAAGAAAAGAACAGTTGCTATTTTTAAGAGTGTTGGTTTTATAAGCTACTGAATTATAGCAGTAAGCACATTATTTAAAGACTGGCAGGGTATATGGATTTTTGTATGAAACCTGTTAAGTTTTACATATTGTTCACTGATTTAAATATATGAAAACACCTTATGAGGCCAATTAAAACATTTCTTCAGGCTGGATTCAGCCAGTTTGTGACTTCTCATCTAGATAAAATGAAAATTAGAAGTGGCCTTTCTCACAGTCTCTCCATAACCCTGCTCTCCTGTTTAGAAAAGATTCTCTGGGCTGAGGTGAAAGACAAAGACAGAGGGAGGGAGATAGAGGGAAAACAATAGGGGTATAGATGTTAATGTGTCTTAGATAGAGGGACTTTATAGATCCTGGGAAACAGACAAAAAAAATCTAGATGGTTTTGTAGATCTGAGAGCAAAAGGGATCTGCCACTCTTGGGGTGGCAGCAAGATACCATAAAAGCAACAATTCCAGAATCTAAGCATATAGTTTCTGCCAAATACAGCCTGTAGATGTCCCCACATGGGGCAGGGGCATGGCTAAGAGAGCCCCCAGCCTTAAGGAGCCACGTAAAGAAGAAGGCAGGATGTCTTGGCAAAAACTAGATGAACTCAGACCTCACCCACTCACCCCACTTCACCTTGTCCACTCCTCCTTACTCTGGCCTCCACACCCTTTAAATATACTAACCAGGCAGACATGTCAGGGTCTAGACTTCTCCTGGGCATAGAAATTGTGATGTGTCTTATGAAGAAAACATATGTGTTAGATTAGTTTTGTTTAGACATAAGTTAAAGTGATGTAGGCTACAAGTTCAATGTTAATGAATCAATAATATATATTAAATAAGGTGTCTTTAAATAAAAACATACCTAAAACAAGGTCATGTGTTGATCAGTTGACAAAAAAGTTATGATCAGAGCTTGTAGGACCCTAACCCTGTATTTCTCCTAGGAACAGTGTTTCAGTATTTCCTAGTTCAGCAACTTTATAGAAAAATAATTGCTGTGCATAACAAGAATCTATTGTATCTGACATTATGTGTTATGTATTTATTATCTGCCTCTTCCACTAAAAGGTAACAGAGGTTTTGTCTAACCTGTTCACTGCTGTAACAGCCAGCACATGGTCAGCATTTGTAAACATGTGTGAATGACGGCAGATCAAGCCTGCACAGTAATTATTTTTAATTTTAGGACTAAGAAGGAGTTTAGGAAAGGATGTGGGAAGCAGGCAACTGAGAAAAAAATATTTATTGAATTGAGTCATGCAGCTATCTATGGGAGGAGCCAGGGACCAGCATGTGCACAGGTACTGAGGCAGAAGCCGTTTGCTTGCTTGCTGTGTTCTAGGGACAACCGTGAGGCCAGCATAGCCGGGGAGGAGAGGTTGGGGTGGGGGTGGGTAGAAGGTCAGAGTGATAACCAGAGGATTTATTTACCTCCACCCCCAGCATTAAAAAGTGTGCTCAGAACCTAGTAGGCGTTCAGGAAAAATGTGTTGAATGTTCCCATGTGAACACTTTAATGCCAAAGCACAGAGGTGGTAGAAAAAATCCTGAATGGACAAATTAGGCTCCTCCTACCCCAGCAGAGTGGAAAGCTTGGAAGAGAAATTAAATAGGGTTGTTAACTTGTCACAAAACAAATAGGGATCGTGACCTTATACACCCATGGGGTAGACTGCAGTTCATTCTGCTGCCCAGGGTTGAGGCTTGAGTTTCATGGGTGACCTCACAATGTCCAAAGTGATGCCTGGCCCATGGCCACAGCCCCAGTCCACCATGCTGACCACCCTGTGGCTGTTGCTCAGCTTTGCTCTCCCGGTGCTAGGGTTCTATGTTTCTGTCAGATGTCCCCATGGGAAGCAATGCCAACGGGCCCTACTTTCCAACAATGATATCTTTCTTCACTGCAACTCCTCTGGGGCACAGTGGCACTACTTCTTCCTGCAAGATGGGACCAACTGGTACAGCCACCCCCGCAGTGTTTCAAACATAGAAAGAATGCCTGAAGGCAGCATTCTCATTAAAAATCCATTGCCATCCCAGACGGGCATCTACAACTGCCGGGACAAGAATGGCCTCCAAGTAGTGCAGTATGAGATTGAATTCCAGGACGTCAGCACCCTGCACATTACACACAGAGGCCTGGGCCAAAAGCCCCTGCGGAATGAGACCCTGAGTCTGGGTGGCAAGGAGATCATCTTCACCCACTGGGAGCCCTGGCAGGACTGTAACCGCTGCGGGAAGCCGGGTGAGCGCAAACGCCTTGGGTACTGCCATATCCAGGAGCCCCTGGAGGAACCCTTGCCCTGCTGGCTCTATCTGGGAGATGCTAGGCTGTGGTCCAGCCGCATGCGGCCTGAGATGCAGGTGGAAGCCTGCAACGTCCAGTGCAAAACATCAGAAGGGGCTCACATCACTTTTGACAACTTCGAGCTCAGTGAGGAGTCAGAATCTGCATGGCTTACCTGCCCCTTAGGATCCATCTACAGGTGATGGAATTGGGGACCAGCCCTGCCCTAGACCCATAGCCAGGCTCTCCCTGTCTGGGATCCTTTGTGGTCAATCTGTGCAGAGAGGGAGGGGTTCTGTGCGGGCAGCCCCACAGACTGTCTCCGCTGGCTTCTTCAGGTACTTTAGCAGGAATCCCCTGGTGCCCACACATTATTGCATCACAGAGGTAGAACAAAGACAGCTAACACTCAGGGAGGGCTCAGCTGACTCTGTGTCTGGCCCTGCGCTGGGGGATGCTGTGGATATGGCGGTCATCAGACTTCCTGTCCTCAGGAAGTCCCCAGCCCAGCAGGGAGGCAGCCCAAGGTGATCAGAGCTGGGATAGAAGAAGCCCCGGCCAGTGGTGGGGCGGTGCTGGGGGAAGATTGGGAAGCCGTGGGGCTCTTGAAGCCTCTGACTCATCTGGGAGGGTCAGCAGGCTCTGGGAGGAGAAGACAGTGCCTTGGGCATGCCCATCAAGGCTTGTCCCCCGGAGCTCGCACTCATGTTCTTATCTTCCTGCCCGGAGCCCCTGGGAAGTCTCCCCATGCGCCTTCTCTTTCCCAACCTACCCACCCCTACCCTGGTTATAAGAACGACAACCACGCATGGTGCTGCACTTTCGTGGGGGGCCGGCCCCTGGGCAAACTCTCTTCATGGACCGTATCATCTTCTGTCCCACCTCCCTGGTCCCAGGAGCTGTGGACTCCAAGGAGGTCCATTTACAGATGGGGAAACTGTAGCTTGGAGGGATGCAGTCCTTGCCCAAGGAGACCTGTAGTGAGACCCTTAGTCTCACATACACCATAGAGTCCCCATGCCCTCCTCCTCCAAGTGCCAGCGGCAGACCCTCCCTTGCAAGGAGGGAGCCCTTGAAACCTCTTGGGGCCTCTGCAGCTGCAGGCTCTGTGGAATCTGGCCTCACCACCTCCATCTGGCCTTCTTTTCCTTGTTTATTTCAGCTGTAACTTCTACTCCTCTCTTTTTCTCATTCGGTATCATTTTGTCTCTCCCCCAACCCCCCTCTTTCTTCCTCTTTCTTTAAGTATAAAATGTAACACCTGCTCCCTGAAAAAATAGCACAGTTCAGAAGTGCAGGAAAGTGCATGTGACCCCTCTTCCCATCTAGACTGGGGCACTTACTTCAGGTCATTTGCTAGACACGGAATTCCTGAGTGAAAGTCATTGGAAACTTGAGATAAGAATCAAGAGAGGTCACCAAGGCTTCAAGAATTTCCCATGTCTCTAGGGGGCCAAGTGGAGTGGTGCTTCGTGTGAAGTTTCTGTTTCAAGCTCTGGGTTCAGCCAGGCCCAGCTTCCAACCCCTGGGGGTTACCACTTTCCAGCTGTGTGACTTTGGGCCCGTGGCATCTCTCTAGGCCTTAGTTTCCCTGTCTGTAGAATAAGGGTTGTATTAGTTTGCTAGGGCTGCCATGACAAAGTACCACAAACGGTGGCTTGAAACAACAGGAATTTATTCTCTCACAATTCTGGAGGCTAGAATTCCAAAATCAAGGTGTCAGCAGGGCCATGCGCTATCTGAGATGCTGGTTCTAGTGGTGACTGGCAGTCCTGGGCCTTCCTATGCTTATAGCTGCACCACTCTGATCTCCACCTCCGTCATCACTTGGCATTCTCCCTGTGTGTCTGTGTCTCTGTGTCTCTGCTCTTATGAAGACATGGGTCATGTTGGATGTGGGGCTCACCCTTCTGTAGTCTGACCTCATCTTAACTATTACATCTATAATGACCCTATTTCCGAATAAGGTCACATTCTGAGGCCCAATTGGAACATGAATTTGAGGAGGACACTATCCAACTCAATATAGAGGTCTTGCTGGCCCAGCCTCTGGGGGTACTTGTGATGTCCAAGGGGGCAAATGACTGGAAAGACACAACAGTGTCTGACAAGCAGATCCACACTGATAGGTGTTAGTTATCACTTGTATGATTACGGGCCTTGTCAAAGTAGCTTGTTGAGTGTCCCCTCTGTGTCTCGACCACGACGGGTGTGTTATATGCCTGATTCACTTATTTGCTTTCCACGTTATTCACTTACTGCTGAGCGTTTATAAGCCAAGCATTGCTCTAGGTATGTGGGATGCCAAACAGAACAAAACTGAAAAAGATTCCTACCTCATGGAGCAATAAAGCAATCACATGAGTAAAATCTACAATATTTTAGACGGTGATAAGGGCAGGGATGGGGGAGGGGACTGGGCAACGTGAAAGTTTAAATAAGCAAGTCAGGGAAGGTGTCGCTGAGAAGGTGCCATTTCAGCCAACACTGAAAGAAAGGAGGTGAGGGAGCTGAGGGCACTGAAGGCAAGCATTCCAGGCGGAGGGAGCGGCCAGGATAAAGGCGTTGAGGCAGGACTGTGCCCAGCGTGTTGGAGGAACATCTAGGGAGCCAGGGTGGCTGGGGCAGAGGGAATGAGGGGGAGACTGGAGGAAATGAGGCCGGCAGGTAAAGGGGGGCACAAATCAATTGAGAGAGCACTCTTACTAATCCTTCCAAATAACTCTCTGAGGTAAGTACAGTTGCTACCCCGCCGGTGTTCAGAGGGGGAAATGGAGGCTCGGAGAGCTGGAGGCATTGGGTTAGGTAACCCGCTCAGTCAGCGGTGGGGCTCCGAGAACTCCCAGCCGTCGGGCTCCCACCCTCCCCTTACTCACTGCTGTGTAGAGCTCCTTGGACGGGTGCTGCTTGCTGTTCTCCAGAGAGGAGGGTGCTGCTGCCTCCACCTCCTTCAGACATCTGTCCCCTTTTTCCTTGGGTGCTGCAGCTGGTCTTGTCCTCCTTTGCAGGCCTGTCATCTGGGAAGCCAATAACACACCCCTGACCTGGCAAGGCCAGCTCTCCGGCCAGGACGTGAGCACCATCCTGGACCCCTCCAATGGTGGGAGACGACTGCAAGTCTTCCAGCCGGCCATTTACAGGTGCTTCGTGCAGCAGGAGCTCGTGGCTCGATTCAACCCCAGGCCCAGTCCAGATGTGCTGGAGATTCTGCAGAAAGAGGAAGTTGGACAACAGCCGGAGGCAGGGCAGGCCAGGAAGGGGAAGGCCGACACCGTCCTCAAGGGGCTGCAGCTGATGCTGCTGGTGGGCACCTTCCTGGGCCTGCTTGGGGTGCTGCTCAAGCTCTTCCGCCCTTCACAGAGCAAAAGAAGAAACCAAACGCTGCTGGTGAAATAAAGCGAGCCTGCAATGGCCAGGAAACCTGGTCTCTTGTGCCTTAATTGCCTCAATTGTCCCTTCCATATCCCCTGCCCTGTGCCTGCCCACACCACACTCTGAATGTGTCTGGGCCAAACAGACCTGTGGCCACAGCGGAAGGTGACTGAGCGCTTCCTTGTTCCAGGTCCTGCTCTGGTAACTCATTAGCAATCTCCATTCCACAGATGAGGAAACCGAGGCAAGACTCCCTGTCCAGTAATGGGAAGGGGGCCCAGTTCAAACCCAAGTTGCCTGGTTCAAACCCTGTGTTCCTCACAGGAAGGAAAGGAAGGGTGGAATGAGGCCATTTTCGGGGTGAGTCTCTGGGGATGGCAAATTGTAGCCACCTCACTCACTGCAGTCTCCCAAGGACAAGGGCAGAGATGGGGATGGGAGTGGGTAGCCCCCAGGTTCCCCCAGATCTGCACTGGGCTTCTGCCCGTCCCTTGCCCCACCCTGCCCCTTTAAGCATAGCTCCCCAGGTCAGAAAGCGCTTCCAGAGTGGTGGCCCAGGACAGTGGAACATGTACCACCTTTCCTGGCTCTTGCAGTAGAAAGAGCCTCCCTCAGACCCCAAGAAGGGGAGACAGGCCCTTCCACCATGATAAGGCACCAGGCCTGGTCTAGCCGACCTACGGAAATCACCAGACCTAACTGTTTCCAAGAATTATATATACTGTTCAGTAGAGTACAACAATAAGAAATAAAATATTAATGCCTTGTAAAATTCATTGCCCTGATAATCCATTGTGAAGCAACTGCAGCACAGATCTGAAACTTCCAGAACAGAATTTCTGTCACCGAGGAGAGGACAGAGCTCACCCCTCACATACAAGACATGGTTGCCAAAACACTGAAGGTTTCATGTGGTGCAGAGACCCCAAAATTCTTGTAGAATGGGGGAATATTTGTGGATAACTAAATGGGGTCCATTGGGAAGCAGAGGCACAGAATAACAATGATAATAATAGCAAATATTTGGGGACCTCCTGGTGTGGTCAGAACTTATAGCCTTCACAACCATTTTGCCTTCACAGCCCGCTATGAGGTTGGGGTTACTATGAACCTTTTTTGTAGCTGAGAACATCAAGGCACAGAGGGCTCGGGCAACCTACCTGAGGTCACACAGTGAACTTGGGAAGGGGCCAGTGATGGGCAAATAAAAGATGATGTCTGGGCCCCCTTTCCACCTGCTCCCCGGGAACCCCTGGTGTCCTGCACCCCACAGCAGCCCCTAGTGTGTAGTGGCTGGAGGTGAAACATCCAGAGCCAAGCCTGGGTCCAATGCCCAGGCCTGTCACCGGAAGTCACATAATCCACACCTAAACCTGTTGGTGCCCCACTGTGGCCCGCAAACCCTAAGGTGGCCCCAGTGATTTCCACCTCCCGGTATCCCTGCGTTGGTGTGATTCCCTCTCCTTCAGTGTGGACTACACATGTGACTCGCTTCTAACAGGCAGAATATGGCGAAGGTATTGGAATAGCACTCCTTTAATTGCATTACATTATATAAGCCTCTGTCTTAGCTAGCTAGAGTGAGAGACGCTTGCTGGCTTGATGGATAGAGTAAGCAGCCACGTTGAGGAAGCCCACTTGGTAGGGAGCTGTGGCCGGCCCCTAGGAGCTGTCAGTGGCCTCTAGGACCTGAGGATGACAGTCAGCAAAAAGCCAGGGCCCCAGTCACACAGCAACCGGGAAGTGAACTCTGCTGACAACCCGAATGAGGCCTCCAGATGAGAATGCAGCCTGACCAACACCTTGACCGCCTTGGGAGACCCTGAACAGAGGACCCAGTCAACCCATATCTGTCCTGACTGTACAGAAACTGGGGAGTCAAAAGTGTGTCTTGCTTTAAGCTCCTAAATGTATGGCTATTTGTTATGCAATCACAGGCAACTGTTAATAGTACACTCACCCTTATCCCTCGGTCCACCCTGAAAAACGCAGCCTCAACAGTTGCCTGGATTGTTCCTGTAGGCACCAATGGCTTCCTAACCCCCCTCACTAGCCCGCTGGGCCAGGTGTGATTGGGAGGGGCTGGCAGCCAGGCAGTTGTTGCCCCCAGGAACAATCCTCACCCACAAGGGATGGGAGTGGGAGCAGAGACATCCAGATTCCCCAGCCCCGGATGGTACAACTCTGAGGCACATTCTGCACATTCTCTCAGAGAGTCCCCAGTGGCTCCGAGCTTCAGATGGGTACAGCTGCAACCAGCTCGTTAAAGCACCATTGTCAACTCACCCACCCTCTCCGCCTCACTTCTGCTTCCTGAAATTATAGTCTTCAAATATTTTTTTAGCCCCACATTCCCTCTCCTCTCCTGGGACTCTGCAGACATAAATGTTAGACCTGTTATTGTCACGTGGGTCCCAGAGGCTTTGTTTGTTTTCCTTCAATCTTTTCTGTTGTTCAGGTTGGAGAATGTCTGTTGTTCTATCTTCAAGTTCGCTGACTCCTTCCTCTGTCATCTCCATTCTGCTATTAGGTCCATCCAGTGAGCCTTTTACTCAGGTTATTGTATTTTTTAGTCCTAAAATTTCCATCTGGTTGTTCTTTATACCTTCTATCTCCTTTTTGATACTTTCTATTTTAAAATTTCCTTTTAGGGGGACCCTAGCTGAGACACCAGCATTGCTAACTCAGTGTCCTCCATGAGCCAAGTAGAAAACACTGGTGGGCTGCTGCACCCTTCTCCCCTTTGCTTACACCATATACCTACCTCACTCCATGCGGGCACTGCTCCAGCCAAACTGGCTGCCTTTAAGGCACTCCTACTCGTTACCCTCCTCACTGTGCTATGCCTTCCACCTAGAAAACCCTTCCTTTCCCCTCCTCTTAGTTGACTTCTTTCATTGTTCAGGCCTCAGCTTGGACATCATTGCTTCTTATCACGTATACACTTTCAGAATGGTCATTAGTGTTGCTCGCCAAATCTCCCTGGCTCTCCATCTTCCAAGCACAGTGTAGGATGGTGCTTCTGGGCCTCCCCGTGGTTGAGTGGGGCCCTGCAACTAACTCTGGCCAATGAGATGTGGGCAGAAGTCATCGGAGCTACTTCCAGGCTAGAGCAGTTAATTGCCTGCACAAAGATACTCTAGAGTCCTCTCTCCTCTGCGCAGAACCCGGAGTACTTGAGATGGAGTCTGTTCTGCCAGCCTGGGTTGAAGAGTGAGCAGAGATCCAGCTTACCCACAATAGACATGGTCGATAAGTTAGAAATAAACTTTTGTTATTATAAGCCATAGACTTGGGGAACATTTGTTATCACAGCATAACCCAGCCCGTCCTGACTGATACATTTCTCCTTCCAAAACACTTGTCGCTTTTGCAGTTTTTCACTTGTTTCTGTCCCTTTGTTTTTACCCACTGAGATGAGAGGCTCATGAGGTCAGGGATATTGTTGTTGTTTCCCCCATTGTATCCTCACCTCCTGAAAGAGCTGAAACATAGTACAAGGCAATAAATGTATACCAACTGAGTGAAGTAGAAATGAGTGAACAATAATCTTAGGAGGTAGGTACAATTATCCCTCTTTTGCAGGAGTGAAATGGAAGATCAGAATGGTTGCTTTGGTGGCTCAGTGTCGCATGGCATGTAAATGGCAGAGATTGGAGCAGAACCTAGGTCTAACTGAGTCCAGAACTTGTTATAACTAGTGTGCAGCTACCTTTCCTAAACAGAAAAGCCTCAGGGGATGGGGTATACCTCTTTCCAAGGGTCTTCCCCTCTCTCACCAAGGAAAGTCTCTATGTTGGTGATACTAAAGGCTAAAGGGCTTGGGAATCCACCGGACATCTACTCTGGAATCAATGATCCACAATTGGGCAGACAAGACAAAGAGGTTCAGAGTGGGAAGAGTGTTTGCCAGCTATCTCTTTGTCCTTCATTTTATTTCTTTTAAAAACAATTTCCATTAATTGAGTGCTCATTCTCTGCCAGGCGCTGTGCCAAGAGCTTTAGGCTCATGAGCTCACAGCATTTTCATGACCATCCCAAATGATTCCTATTTTTCACAGGAGGAAACTGAAGGCCAGAGAAGTGAATTTGCTTGCTTGTGTATACAAAATTAGTACATCAGTTATGGCTGCAAAATAAAACATACCCCAAATCAAAGATTTAAAATAGTAAGCATTTATTGCTTACAAGTCTACAAACCAGCTGGGTAGTTCTGGTCTCAGCTAGAAGCATTCATGCTTCTGTGATTAGCAGTGGGTTGGGGTTGGCTCTGCTGATCTTGGCTGAGCTCTCTCACATATTCAAGAATTGGCTGTTTGTAGGCTGGACCAGGTGCCATCAGCTGGGGCAACTGGGATTTCCTCCATGTGGTCTCTCTCTCTCTCTAGCCGGCCAACCCAGGCTTGTCTAAAAGGTGGTAGCAAGGGTCCAAGAAAGTGAATGGGAGCAGCAAGGCCTCTTGAGGCCCAGGCTCAGAACTAACACATGGCCAGGGATAGGGGCAGGGAGGCCCTGGTTAGCCATGTGACCTGAAGGCCCGGCTTGGGAAGGCTCCTGGGCAAGTGGGATTAAACCAGATGTATTAGTTCTCTAATGCTGCATAATAAACCAGCCCAAACTCAGAAACTTAACGCAACAATTATTTACTTTTCTCTCTATTCTGTAGGTTGGTAATAGAGCCTGGGCTTAGCTGGGTAGTTCTTTAGGTTTGTTTTTGTTTTTGTTTTTTTTATTGGGGAATTGGGGGAAGGGGAACAGACAAGTTGCTGTCCTTTTGTTCTTCAGTCTAGTTGTGGAGGACGCTCACTGCGGCGGCTGGCCGCTCACGCTGGCT